CGCGGATGATCGCCCATCTGAGGATGTTGTTATGGCGACCGGGTGTATAGCCACCATCATGGAGGCAATGGGTTCAGCATCAGAGCCCTACATTGAAGATGCCGTTGCCCTGGCGTTGCACCTTATTGAGACAACTGATGAATCCTCAGCAAAGGCTAATTGTGCATATCTTCTTCGGGTATTGGTAGAGTGCTTTCCATGTCGCTTTGATAACGTTTCCGCTATAAATCCACTGCTGCAGGCACTTTGGGGAATTGCTGGAAGCCAAGACGAGATTCCCGCGGCGGTAGACAATGCGGTGTCTGCGACATGCACAATGGTGCGCTTTCTCTCACCGACTACCATTCCCCTTTCATCTGTTGTCCCTGCGCTGCTGGAACGGATACCGATGCGTGTGGATCGAACCGAAAACGCCAATGCCATTCGAACAATCATACACCTTCTGACATCACAGCGAGAATTTACAAAGTCGCACGTTTGGATTGCGATGGTGCGCTGCGTCGCCACCGTGCTGGCTGCACTGACCGTGGATGAGGAGCAGAAGCAGCTGTTGGTCGTTCAAGGGGCCATCCCTTTCATTGATATTTGCCGAACCGAATGGAGGGAAACATGTGCACAGCTGCCAGTGGAACTACAGGCCGCCTTGGAACGCTACGGCTGTTACTGAGCGATGGTGCTGCGGTGCTGGCAGGGACATGGAGGCACCACATCGCCCGCCGCATAAAAGGTATGAATACGAATAAAGGAATGTTAAGTGACTTTTTTCAATTATTGATGGTATTTCTTTTTTTTTGTTTTCTCCACAGCCTCTTGAAGGAAATAGGGAGACGATATGGCATGATTGAGCTGTTGATTGCTGATTACTTCCCTTTTCTATTTTTTTCTCTTGCCTTGTTTGACATGACAGGCGCAGTGCTGGTAGTTCCGGTGACGGATATGCAGGCCTACACCAAGCCACACCTCAACTGCCAGCCTGTTGCAATGCGTGGTGAAACCTTGAACTGCGACGCTGCCACCACGTTGCGCGCTTCCACATTTACTGGCAAAAACTTTGATCCAGGACGAAATTTAGATTTGTTTTTGGAAAAAGAGGGGGCCGACGAAGGCGAAAAGTTCCCGCGACCACCAGAGAGGGGTAACAATGAGTTTATTAGTGGCCATATTGAGCCACCAGTATCGGTAGGGGCCTTGGCGTCATCACATAGTAGTCTCGGGGAGCGGTTGAGGCTTGTGGAGCTGCAGTGTCGCGCGTACTACGATCAACTCCAGCAGGTTACCATGGAAAGGGATGTGTTGCAGGAGAAGGTGCGGGCGATGGACAAGCAACGCTTGTTGGGCACAAGTAAGATAAGGGAACTTATCGAAGAAAACAAGAGTTTAAGGGCTGCTTTTGAGGAAGCCGACGTGCGACTGGGTATTGCGGAGATTGAGCAGCAGGCGTTATTGAAGGAGACTCAACGTCTGCGGGAACATCTTTTTCTCATGCAGCAAGAGTTGGGAGGCGAGGGGAGACGAGTCAATTGTGCACTCCACCAGTGCGCAGGCACTGTTGGAGAGTCGGACTTAACCACTTTGGGTCACTTTTCTGACAATGAGATTCCGCAGCGGCAGTCAGACATTGTGACCTCATCTGCCAACGTGGTGTCGCCTGACATCGTTGAGGATTCTTTGGTTGTCATCCCTCTGGCAAAGGGGGAGTCTACCAAACAACGAGATTCACAGCAGGAAACAGTGGCGGATGGAAGCCCCAAGAATCAAAGACATAAGGACGAGCAGCAGGGTTTGCGCGCCACCAACAGTTACTTGGAGGCTCGATGTCGTGTGCTTGAGACCCAACTGCACCGTCTCCGTGAGAGACTCGTCTCACAGGATCTTCCAGCGCCTCCCACAAACACCCACGACAAATAAACCGGATCGTGACGCTTGAGAGGAGCTGCTTCTTATTTCTTTGAGTGGTGGTGGTGTTTTTTTTTCTTTATTTTATTTTATTTTTGATGATCCTGAGTCTTGTGCACGAGGGAGGATGTGTTTGCTCACGACGACACCTCTTGCCTCTGCGTTCTCTCTTAATAGGCATTTAGAGACGACGGATTGGTTGCTTTAGCTCTTTTTTTTTCTTTTCTTTCTTATTGCGTTGTGGAGTGGAAAGGATAAACGTGAAGAAAAAAAAAACAATAGAAGGCTACGGCGACTGCCGACGTGATTACCATCAGTACTACCATATATATATATATTTCCCACAGTGTTTCCAACAGTTGCCTTTTTTCTCCACGTATCTTATATCGACATTTATCGAAACACACAACAACGTAAAAACGGACGTGGCTTTTGGAGATATGAGCAGCAACTTGCAGCTTAACACATGCGGGGCATTCACAATGCGCCGGGATTGTCACCTGTGTGATAGCCCAACGCAACTTTACGTGCCACAACTACGGCGGGCGTCACACAGGCCGATGCATTTAAATACTGATGGGTACGAGGTGAAGCGTTCTTCCTCTCCGGTTGCCGATTCTCCTTCACGTCAATCGTGGGTGGAAACAAGGAAAATGGCCGTGACACTGGGAGAGCTCGAAGAGCTATACCGCGCAAACAATAAGAACCGCCACGGCACATGGAAGGCGGCAGCGGCGCAGGACGAAACGGACACCATTAAAGAAGAGTGCAGATGGTTAACGGAACAGCGAGACACGTTGGGGAAAAAAGTCGAAGAGCTTCAAAACCAGCTGAAAGAAGAGCGGAAAAAGAATGCACGGTCTCCAAGCATCACGTTCTCCCTGCAGACGGAAGCCGATACGACGCGCATGAGTGGCCAACAACTACTGACAGCACTAAAAGAGGAAAATATGGCAATAAAAAAACAAAAAAAAGCCATGGAGAAGGCACTGAGAGACACACAGAACAACGCTATTCACTCCAAACACCAGGAGAGAATTCTCCAAGAAAAATACCGTGACGCCAAACAGGAAAACAAACGATTAAAAGAAAAAAACCTTCGGGCTCAACAAAATATCGAACATCTTACGCACCTCCTAAAAATCACAACGATGGCAAAAGAAACTGCAGAAAACGATGCTGCGGCAATCGAAGAAGCATTGAAGCAGGCGGAGAACGACATTGAGGAATTAATGCGCCAGATATCCACCTACAAAAAAGAAAATCAACACGACAACCATTATCATCTGGAAGCTCAAACAAACACAAAAACAAAGGGGAAAAACACTCCAAAGCCATTAAACCAAACACAAGAGAACGATGATTATACAACAGTAACGCAATTCAAGAACAACAAAATAAAAAAAGAAAATCACACAAATGACAAAGAATCACGAAAAGAAAAAGAAGAGAATACAACATCTTGTAAAGAGAAAGATGATGCCACAAAGGCGAAAAATCACCTGCAGCGGGAGAGAGACGCCGTGGCGGAGAATTCTGTGCTGCAGAAGGAGAGGGATGAAGCCGTGGCGGAGAATTCTGTGCTGCAGAAGGAGAGGGATGACGCCGTGGCGGAGAATGCCCAGCTGCAGAAGGAGAGGGATGACGCCGTGGCGGAGAATGCCCAGCTGCAGAGGGAGAGGGATGAAGCCGTGGCGGAGAATGCCCAGCTGCAGAAGGAGAGGGATGACGCCGTGGCGGAGAATGCCCAGCTGCAGAAGGAGAGGGATGACGCCGTGGCGGAGAATGCCCAGCTGCAGAAGGAGAGGGATGACGCCGTGGCGGAGAATTCTGTGCTGCAGAAGGAGAGGGATGACGCCGTGGCGGAGAATTCTGTGCTGCAGAAGGAGAGGGATGACGCCGTGGCGGAGAATGCCCAGCTGCAGAAGGAGAGGGATGAAGCCGTGGCGGAGAATTCAGTGCCGCAGAGGGAGAGGGATGACGCCGTGGCGGAGAATTCAGTGCCGCAGAGGGAGAGGGATGACGCCGTGGCGGAGAATGCCCAGCTGCAGAGGGAGAGGGATGACGCCGTGGCGGAGAATTCAGTGCCGCAGAGGGAGAGGGATGAAGCCGTGGCGGAGAATGCCCAGCTGCAGAGGGAGAGGGATGACGCCGTGGCGGAGAATTCAGTGCCGCAGAGGGAGAGGGATGAAGCCGTGGCGGAGAATGCCCAGCTGCAGAGGGAGAGGGATGACGCCGTGGCGGAGAATGCCCAGCTGCAGAGGGAGAGGGATGACGCCGTGGCGGAGATTGCCCAGCTGCAGAAGGAGAGGGATGACGCCGTGGCGGAGAATGGCCAGCTGCAGAAGGAGAGGGATGACGCCGTGGCGGAGAATGCCCAGCTGCAGAAGGAGAGGGATGAAGCCGTGGCGGAGAATGCCCAGCTGCAGAAGGAGAGGGATGACGCCGTGGCGGAGAATTCTCTACTGCAGAAGGAGAGGGACGAAGCCGTGGCGGAGAATGCCCAGCTGCAGAGGGAGAGGGATGACGCCGTGGCGGAGAATTCTGTGCTGCAGAAGGAGAGGGATGAAGCCGTGGCGGAGAATTCTGTGCTGCAGAAGGAGAGGGATGACGCCGTGGCAGAGAATGCCCAGCTGCAGAAGGAGAGGGATGACGCCGTGGCGGAGATTGCCCAGCTGCAGAGGGAGAGGGATGACGCCGTGGCAGAGAATGCCCAGCTGCAGAAGGAGAGGGATGAAGCCGTGGCGGAGAATGCCCAGCTGCAGAGGGAGAGGGATGAAGCCGTGGCGGAGAATGCCCAGCTGCAGAGGGAGAGGGATGACGCCGTGGCGGAGATTGCCCAGCTGCAGAGGGAGAGGGATGACGCCGTGGCGGAGAATGCCCAGCTGCAGAAGGAGAGGGATGACGCCGTGGCGGAGAATGCCCAGCTGCAGAAGGAGAGGGATGACGCCGTGGCGGAGAATGCCCAGCTGCAGAAGGAGAGGGATGAAGCCGTGGCGGAGAATGCCCAGCTGCAGAAGGAGAGGGATGACGCCGTGGCGGAGAATTCTGTGCTGCAGAAGGAGAGGGATGACGCCGTGGCGGAGAATGCCCAGCTGCAGAAGGAGAGGGATGACGCCGTGGCGGAGAATTCTGTGCTGCAGAAGGAGAGGGACGAAGCCGTGGCGGAGAATGCCCAGCTGCAGAAGGAGAGGGATGACGCCGTGGCGGAGAATGCCCAGCTGCAGAAGGAGAGGGATGACGCCGTGGCGGAGAATGCCCAGCTGCAGAAGGAGAGGGATGAAGCCGTGGCGGAGAATGCCCAGCTGCAGAGGGAGAGGGATGACGCCGTGGCGGAGATTGCCCAGCTGCAGAAGGAGAGGGATGACGCCGTGGCGGAGAATTCTGTGCTGCAGAAGGAGAGGGATGAAGCCGTGGCGGAGAATTCTGTGCTGCAGAAGGAGAGGGATGAAGCCGTGGCGGAGAATTCTGTGCTGCAGAAGGAGAGGGACGAAGCCGTGGCGGAGAATTCTGTGCTGCAGAAGGAGAGGGATGAAGCCGTGGCGGAGAATTCTGTGCTGCAGAAGGAGAGGGATGAAGCCGTGGCGGAGAATGCCCAGCTGCAGAAGGAGAGGGATGAAGCCGTGGCGGAGAATGCCCAGCTGCAGAAGGAGAGGGATGACGCCGTGGCGGAGAATGCCCAGCTGCAGAAGGAGAGGGATGAAGCCGTGGCGGAGAATGCCCAGCTGCAGAGGGAGAGGGATGACGCCGTGGCGGAGATTGCCCAGCTGCAGAGGGAGAGGGATGACGCCGTGGCGGAGAATTCTGTGCCGCAGAAGGAGAGGGATGACGCCGTGGCGGAGAATGCCCAGCTGCAGAGGGAGAGGGATGACGCCGTGGCGGAGAATGCCCAGCTGCAGAGGGAGAGGGATGACGCCGTGGCGGAGAATTCTGTGCTGCAGAAGGAGAGGGATGACGCCGTGGCGGAGAATGCCCAGCTGCAGAAGGAGAGGGATGAAGCCGTGGCGGAGAATGCCCAGCTGCAGAAGGAGAGGGATGACGCCGTGGCGGAGAATGCCCAGCTGCAGAAGGAGAGGGATGACGCCGTGGCGGAGAATTCTGTGCTGCAGAAGGAGAGGGATGACGCCGTGGCGGAGAATGCCCAGCTGCAGAGGGAGAGGGATGACGCCGTGGCGGAGAATTCTGTGCTGCAGAAGGAGAGGGATGACGCCGTGGCGGAGAATGCCCAGCTGCAGAAGGAGAGGGATGAAGCCGTGGCGGAGAATGCCCAGCTGCAGAAGGAGAGGGATGACGCCGTGGCGGAGAATGCCCAGCTGCAGAAGGAGAGGGATGACGCCGTGGCGGAGAATTCTGTGCCGCAGAGGGAGAGGGATGACGCCGTGGCGGAGAATGCCCAGCTGCAGAAGGAGAGGGATGACGCCGTGGCGGAGAATTCTGTGCTGCAGAAGGAGAGGGATGAAGCCGTGGCGGAGAATGCCCAGCTGCAGAAGGAGAGGGATGACGCCGTGGCGGAGAATGCCCAGCTGCAGAAGGAGAGGGATGACGCCGTGGCGGAGAATGCCCAGCTGCAGAGGGAGAGGGATGACGCCGTGGCGGAGAATGCCCAGCTGCAGAAGGAGAGGGATGACGCCGTGGCGGAGAATGCCCAGCTGCAGAAGGAGAGGGATGACGCCGTGGCGGAGAATGCCCAGCTGCAGAAGGAGAGGGATGACGCCGTGGCGGAGAATGCCCAGCTGCAGAAGGAGAGGGATGACGCCGTGGCGGAGAATTCTGTGCTGCAGAAGGAGAGGGATGACGCCGTGGCGGAGAATGCCCAGCTGCAGAAGGAGAGGGATGACGCCGTGGCGGAGAATGCCCAGCTGCAGAGGGAGAGGGATGACGCCGTGGCGGAGATTGCCCAGCTGCAGAGGGAGAGGGATGACGCCGTGGCGGAGAATGCCCAGCTGCAGAAGGAGAGGGATGACGCCGTGGCGGAGAATGCCCAGCTGCAGAAGGAGAGGGATGACGCCGTGGCGGAGAATTCTGTGCTGCAGAAGGAGAGGGATGAAGCCGTGGCGGAGAATGCCCAGCTGCAGAGGGAGAGGGATGACGCCGTGGCGGAGAATTCTGTGCTGCAGAAGGAGAGGGATGACGCCGTGGCGGAGAATGCCCAGCTGCAGAAGGAGAGGGATGACGCCGTGGCGGAGAATTCTGTGCTGCAGAAGGAGAGGGATGAAGCCGTGGCGGAGAATGCCCAGCTGCAGAAGGAGAGGGATGAAGCCGTGGCGGAGAATGCCCAGCTGCAGAAGGAGAGGGATGACGCCGTGGCGGAGAATGCCCAGCTGCAGAAGGAGAGGGATGATGCCGTGGCGGAGAATGCCCAGCTGCAGAGGGAGAGGGATGACGCCGTGGCGGAGATTGCCCAGCTGCAGAGGGAGAGGGATGACGCCGTGGCGGAGAATGCCCAGCTGCAGAAGGAGAGGGATGACGCCGTGGCGGAGAATGCCCAGCTGCAGAAGGAGAGGGATGACGCCGTGGCGGAGAATGCCCAGCTGCAGAGGGAGAGGGATGACGCCGTGGCGGAGATTGCCCAGCTGCAGAGGGAGAGGGATGACGCCGTGGCGGAGAATTCTGTGCCGCAGAGGGAGAGGGACGACGCCGTGGCGGAGAATGCCCAGCTGCAGAGGGAGAGGGATGACGCCGTGGCGGAGAATGGCCAGCTGCAGAAGGAGAGGGATGACGCCGTGGCGGAGAATGCCCAGCTGCAGAAGGAGAGGGATGACGCCGTGGCGGAGAATGCCCAGCTGCAGAAGGAGAGGGATGAAGCCGTGGCGGAGAATGCCCAGCTGCAGAAGGAGAGGGATGACGCCGTGGCGGAGAGATATGTGCTGCAGAAGGAGAGGG